ATCATAAAGATGGAAAATTCACTGGAATTTTAAAGGAGAGCTGGAATCCACCCCCGACCTTTTGTTTCACCCCGTGTTAAATAAGATGCTCTTCGTTTATGGCTCGTATTGGCTGGGACCACGAGGGGCGATCGGGAGCGCAGCCCGCGAAGCACCTTCCTCACGGCACCATCCTCATCCTCCCCGGGAAACGTGTCTGGGGAGAATCCCAGCGGGAGACGCTGCTCCCGCGGGACACTGGGACGGGGCTACCAGAGCGACGTCCGAAGGGCGGCGTATGGCCGGAGTAGGGAATTTCGGAGCAAGGCCTTCGGATCCGGCCTCTGAGTCATCTCCACGCGGGCAGAAGCCGGCAGGGAGCAGCGTCCCCGCAGGGATGCGCCCCGAACGCCCCGGAATGAGGAGCCTCGGCCAGGGGCACGGGAAGGATATTTCCCATCCTGACGCCGTGCCCGGAGCCGGGCCCGTCCCTCCGGACACGACAGGGATTGCAGTTATTCCTGCCCTTGCTGCGCCGCCTGCGCGAGCCCTGCGTCCTGGCAGGGTGATTCAATAGGAAGCGGGGTCACTGACGCGATCCGCAAATGCTCCCGCAACGCGGGGAGAAGCGGAAAACCCGCTGGGAGGAGAATGGAAAACGGGGTGCTTGGAGATGGCCCTTTTGGGAGGATGTATCCTGTGAGGATATGATACAGCTGGGAGATAAAGCCGCAGGAATCCAAACCGGGACTGGCTCCGCGGGGAGGACGTGCAGGAACGGGAGCTGCCCGAGCGCTGGGAGCTGCTCCCGGGAAAGCCGGACGGCAGCAGAACCGGCTCCGTTCCGCTCCGGTTGGCCGTGCTCTTGGCCCCGCTCCGTGTCCGTGTCCCGTCCGTCCTTCCTCCTCCCTTGGCAAACACAACGGGGCGGCAGCGGCACAAAGGCCGGCGCGCGGCGGGCCCAGGCGACCGTGTAATCCCATTACCGCAGCCCTCGGCCTCCCCCTGCCCTCCCCCCGTTTGTCACCGTCACTTATTGTCACCGTTGGGATCAGCCTGGAGGCTCCTCCGCGAGGGCCCGGCCGCGCCAGGCGCTCCGTGACGGCTCCTGCGTTATGGGAAGGCCGGGGTAGGAGGCGGCTTTTTACATTTCGGAGCTGATTCCCCGGCATCACGAGTGGCTCCATCCACGCGCGGCTGCCGCGTGCCAGCAGCTCATGGACAAAGCGATTGCAGAGGCAACAGAAGGAGGAGACGCTGTTACTTGTGTATAATAACGACGAGTGACTCAAATTCAGTGTAACTTATGTGAGATTTGTTCTGGCAGCTCCACGTCCCCTCTGAGCTTTTCCCCGGCGTGGACGTAATTCCCTTATGGATTGAAAGCGGAGCCGATAATGCTGCTTCCCGACGAAAGCGCCGGCGGAGCCGCCTCCTCGAGCGCGTCTCGGGATTGGGCAGGCCCCTGGGAAAAGCGGCCCCCCCCCGCCTGCCGCCAAATCGGCAGGACACAGAGCCCAGGAAAACATATTATATATGTATAACATAAATCCTATATATTACGGATACCTGCTGGGTTTCTGCCCCATGTAACAAGCAGCTCTCATTCCCAGAAGAAATACGATCGTATTAGAGGGCTGCATCTCCTAAAGGGCTTAGTGAAAACACTTAAGTTGTGAAGCGGCTGGGAATTTGTTTTAGGAAAACGGTTACTCCATGTTTTAAGTCACTTCCTGGGAGCAACAGGGGAAAATTCAACAATGGCAAAATCGGGACCAGGCCGGGGAAGCGCTTTGCCCGGGCAGGGCCGGGCTGCGGGATCTCGTGCTTCGCTGCAGGGCGCTCGGGCAGCTCCGGGCTCCGGTTCTCGGTCCCGTGCTGACATCTGGTGTTGGCCGACCCGTCACCGCGCGGCTGGAGCCGTGAAACATGGGCCAGGCCGCAGGATCCGTGGGGCTTCCCGGGCGAACGGAGCCAAAGGGGAGCGCGGAGCGTCCGCGGCGCTGCGGGAGCGCACGGCAATGGGGCTGCAAAACCCAGCGGCTCTTCAGAGAATCCCAGAATGCTGAAGGTTGGAAGGGACCTCTAGGGATCATCCAGTCCAACCCCTGCACACGCAGGGTCACCTAGAGCACGTGGCACAGGACTGCGTCCAAGCGGGTTTGGAGATCTCCAGAGAAGGAGACTCCACAACCTCTCTGGGCAGCCTGTTCCAGTGCTCTGGCACCCTCACTGTCAAGAAATTTTTCCTCAAGTTCCTGTGGAACTTT